ATCCTGGGGGCCCAGTCAGGCATGGAGGGCCGAGAGCAAGGGACATGTCGATCATTCACAGGTGTACAGGAGTGTGTGTGTGTGTCACCTCTTCCCATGTGATTGTGGGGTTGGGGGTGTTTGTGTCACCCCTCCCTGTGTGAACCCTAAAGCCTTAAAGAAAGAAGGTAAATAAAAAGAATCGAACTATACAGTATTTTTCTTTAAAGGGGGCTCAACACCAAGTTGACTAATTTGAATGTTTGTACTGCATGGTTCTGATTGATTGCCATTGAACTCATTTGAATACCTGTAATTTTTTCTAGGTGTCCCGTATTTAGCATAAGGAAATATGGTCACCCTATTTACAGCAGTATTTTGTAATGATATGGCAGTTGCCAATTCCTTCAAATATAGCAATAGAGCTGGTTGAAATTTTTGTCAAAGTAATTGAGATGAAAAATGGCTTTTTGTCAAACAAAACTTTTCATGGAAAATAGCCATTTTTGACAACACTTGCCGCTCTCTTACTGAAAACATTTCCGTTTCTGGTTTTCCATTAAAAGGATTTTCAAAAGTAAAATTATTTTAGTTTCATTTTTTTTATTAAAAAAAAACAAAAAAGACACTGTAAATGTTCATGGGAGCTTTTAACAAATACATTTCCCCCCTCTCCCCCAATTCCCCATGAAGAATAACTGGTATTTTTCTACCAGCCCCCTATAAAAGCATCTTACATAGGGTGACCATATTTCCCAAAAGGAAAACAGGACACCGTATGATGCCAGCCTGAGGCCACCCCTTGCCCCCGCTCCTCCGTGAGGCTGGCCTGAGCCCTGCCTGCCCTCCGTGCAAGGCTGGGGTTGCTGCTCACCTGAGCCCTGCCACCCCCGCTCCGTGAAGCAGTTGTTGCTTGCTGGAGCCCTGCCTCTCCCCTCGGCACGGAGCTGGCATCACCCCTCGCCCCCCCTGCACATTCCTCCACCTTGCACCCCACTTTCCTGACAAAAGTGGGCATTTGCTCTTGTCAACTGATCAAGTCGGCAAGCGCAAACGGGACAAATGCCCACTTCTGCCAAAAAAGTCAGGACAGGGCTTAAAAAAGGGACTGTCCCAGCTAAAACGGGACATATGGTCACCCTCATCTTATGGACAATGACCATCCACTTTCTTCTACAAGATGGGCAGTTAGCTCACGTGTAAGGCTCCAGTCCTGCCAGGACCACCACAGAGGCAGACTTCTGGATTCACCTGCACCGAGAGCATTGTGGGTTTGAGCCTAAATCAATTAGAGCCTAATTACACACCCGGGGGGGAGAATGCCTTAACCAGAGTGCGCCACAAAAATCCAAGCCTTTTCATATACGCTCATTGGCTACAGCACACTAGAATAAGAAGCAATAACAGAGTTACAGAACCCAACAATAACAAGGTTTATTGTCATGAAAGAGGCAAGTGCAAATTACAAAGAATTTACCCAACAGATAATAAAAGGGGGACTGTTCAGAAGACCTCTGCTTGGGATCCAGTTTTAGGTTGTTCCTTTAAGAAAAGCCATGTTATGTGTAGTGAAACCTCACAGTATGCTACAATGAGCACAGTAATGCGTAATACCTGCATATCAACCATGACAATGCATGATACTGTCAGTCCGGTAACATATGATACAGCACAATCCATCCTATGAATTGAGGCATACATGGAACACCAAAATGGGCATGACAGTAATGGACAGATAAATCATTACTTCACCCAACGCGGGAGTTTAAAAAGGCAAAACAGTGTGCAGATACTGATGGCATTATCATTACACAAAGCTTGTGATTGTTACAAAAGGAAAAGCTAACCCCAGCGTGAGCCACAGTCTAACCATTCCCACTTTCTCAAAACAAGTCCTTAATCATCATAAACAGACAAATTAATACATGTGAGAGTAGATTAACAATCTTTATTAAATCCCCATTAACTAGAATCAAAGCAACTGTGCCCTTAAGCCACTTACATTACCTTATCTCCTATTATAGCCTATAATCCACTAATCAAGGAGGCAGGAAGTGCCAGTGACATCCATCTCAAGTACATATTCAGCAAGACCAAGACTGATACCCTGTTAAGATATTCAGTAATTCCCCTAGGCGGTGATGGTAATCGTCTTTTCCCCAGATATTCCTTTGACTTGGTTAGAGGTCAGTTTGGCTACAATTTTTTTCTCTCCTGTTTTTTTTGGAGCACATATTATTTGGGATTTAATGATCCTACCAGGCATTATGTCCCTAAGAAGAAGGGGGAGAAAAAAAGACAGTTACTAACACAATGCTATATGTATTCATTCCTTTCCAACGGTTTCTTTGCGAATGAAATATAGCTTTCGTAGTCAACATAGAGCTGATATTTCCTGCAGCCTGAATGTAAAGTAAAACAAAAATTCTAATAGGGGTTGTGGGTGGGGAATGAATTAATGAGTGGTTAGGGACTAGATCCACAAAGGGACTTAGGCACCTAAAGTGGCTGTTAGGCACCAAAGGACAACATTTAGGCACCGCACCGCTGAGCTCTACCTAACACTAGTGCCTAAATTTCTGCAGGTACGCATGCACAAAACTGCCTAACTCCTGGTGCCCCAACCTGCTCAGCACCCTCCTTCACACCTAGGTCCCAGCAGGATTCTCAGAATAGGCATTTCCCCACCTATCTTGCCTTCAGTGACTGATCCATTAGGTGTTCCTAGAGCATGTCTAAATCGTCACAATGGACTGCTGGGGCGAACAGATTGGGAATTTTGCAGACTGCGGCATATCACCTTCCCTGTGATTAGAGCACTTACCTGGGATGTGGGAGGCCTGTTTTCAAATTCCCACTCTGCCTGATTTGGAGCAGGGACTTGAACTTAGGTTTCCCACGTCTTAGGTGAGTGCCCTGACCACTAGGCTATCAGCTATAATGGGTTCTGATTTTGGGTATTCTGGGTTTTGGCTGCAAGGCCACAGGCTACCTAAGCAGCTGACCTGGCGTAGGCACCTAACTCCAGGAGAGGATGTGCCCTCCGGCCTGGACTTAAGCGCTGAGCACTCTGAGAGGGGTGGGACTTAGCCTCAGCGTTTCCTACTTGCTCACTTAGGTAGCTCTCCACTCAGTGTGCTGGCTTCTGTGAATCCCCTTCTTAGGCACCTAACTCTCCTCATGCATTGTATGCTGGGAGCCTGGGTGCCTAACTCGGGGCTGTGGACTCCATCAGGCAACAGGCTGCCTTAAAGTCCGGCATGCCAACGCCTAAATGTCCTGTGTATTTAGCCCTAGGTTTCTTTTCACTGTCTCCAGGGGTGGGGCTTCCTTCACTTTCCTTGGTAGACCATCCCAACCTCTTATAAGGGTAAAGTCATTGAAAGGAAAAGGCAAAGAAAGTCAATTCTTTAGCTGTATATGTTGAATAAACCAAGGTTAGATGGGCTGCTACACAGAGACATATACTGTGTGGCATTGCACCTGCTTGCATCAGGTCTGACTAGGGACAATAGACTTTATAAAGGCAATGAGACATATTATTGGATGTACCTAATTGTTTTTAAAAAGTGTACAAATTTCTACAGACAGCAGAAGTTGTACATTAATCTAATGCAAAGTACCACAATTATCTTAAGTGTAATCTCACCCTTGATCAATCGTTTCCATTTTAAAAATGCCCAGTCCTTCTACATGCAATTTGCATTTTTCCAAGGGAATAGACAAGGTATTTTTGAAGATAAAGGAACAGGTAAAATCTTCATTAATCTTTGCAGTTTCTGGCATCTGCAAAATAAAGAAGGATTACAGAGGCACAGATTAGGTGCATCCTCTTATTAAAAAGCAGAATAGAAGGTGTTTATGGCAGATTGCATTAAAAGAGAGACTGACCATGAGAAAGTCATGCCTTAGTCAAAAAGACAAACAGCTGAGGTCAGAGAGTTAACTGAAACCAGAGATGTTAGTCATCTGGTCCATTTCCCTGCCAAGACAGAGTTGTTTTCCACATAGATTCTCCAGGGCTTTGTACGCTCCAATTTTAAATGACTCAAACAATGTAGTTTTCACCACTTTCCTTGGGAGTCTACCATCTAATAGATTTCATTGACAGGAAAGACTTTAATATTCAACCCAACATTTAATTTGCTCAGTTTCATTCCATGCCCCTTCATTATTGCCGCATGTGCTCCTCCCACTCCTCAGTGTTTATATACAGGTAGCTGATTCTCATGACCATCCTACCTGTCATTCAGACAAAATAGTCTGGTCTTTTAATTTTTCCTCTGAGCTCATTCTCTCCGGTTATTCTATTTATTTGGCCTCTGAATTCTCTCCAATTTGTTAACATCTTTTTTGGGAACAAGGAGCCCAGAGATAGAAATGGGCCCAAACCAAACCTCCCAGTTTGAACACCCCCAGACTTTGGAATCTGAGGCCTGGTCTATCCTAGGGACTTAAATTGGTATAGCTACCTCTCTCAGGGCTGTGAAAAATCCATATCCCTATGAGACATAGCTATACTGCCCTAACCCCTAGTGTAGACAGTGCTAGGTCGATGGAAGAGGCTATTGCCTCTCGGGAAAGGGGATTATCTATAGGTCGTGTCTACGCTGAAGACTTAGCATGGCACAGCTGCGCCACTGTAGTGTTTCAAGTATAGACATACCCTGAAGCTAGATTTTAATTTTATGATTACCCTCCATCTTGATAATGGCCAAACCAGAACTCAGAGTCTAAACAGCCCTGGGCTGGAGGGTTTGTCTAGGCTGCAGTCCCAGGTCCAGATTTTGAAGGCCTGTGGACTCTTGGCTCATCTCTACATAGAAATAATCATAGCATTCTTGGTGTGGTCTCACCAGTCCTGGGCAGAGTGAGACTATCACCTCCTTTTTGTCTGAGGTGAAGCCTCTGTGATTCTAGCCTATATTTGGTGTTACTTTATATGCCCTAGAGAACCAAAACACTGGCTGACCCCACCCCCCTTTTTTTTTTTTTTTTTTTTTTTTTTTTTTTT